GGGGGGTAACTCGTGGGCAATAGGAGGAGTAAGCTGTCACAGCAATTAGTTCTGCTCAAATATATAAATATATAGTTTTCCAAACCACATAATATATAAATATAGTTCTCAAAAATTTTCTAAACCACAAAATATATAAGTATATAGTATTCTCAAAAACTTTCTAAACCACAAAATATATAAATATATAGTATTCTCACCACTTTTTAAACCACACTATATACATATATAGTATTCTCACCACTTTTTAAACCACATAATGTATAAATATATAGTTTTCAACCCACTTTAATAACCACTGAATACATATATTGTCTATAAAGCACTTTCTAAACCATATAACATATAAATATATACTATACCAGGCTTTTAGGGAGCTTCGCGCCTATCTTCTATTTCAACTTTTAATTGTGGCTATATTAGAACATCTTCTTTATGTACAATATAATACAAAAACAAAAAAGAGTTCGCAGATTTCGTAATATATTCTCGTGGATTTTTTAAACTTTACAAAAATTCAAAAATTTTTTAAATAAATTTTTGAAAAACCTCCTTGGGGTCATGCGAGTAGGGTTGTTAATCGTTTTTGAAAACGATCGTTAAACGATCGTTTTTGTTTCGTGTTTCAATCGTTTTCAAAAACGATCGTTTCGTTTTTGGAAAAAAGGATCGTTTTTAAAAACAACCCACTCGTTTTGAACTTTTAGAAAACTATCGTTTTTTTAAACCGATTTGGGACCTTCTTTATACGATTGTTTTTTGAAAACGATCGTTAAAAAAAATTTATTTACAATTATTTTTACGATCGTTAACGAAGGGTCGTCATTAACGATCGTTAACGAAACGACGAAATTTTTAAAAACGGTCGTTTTTGAAGAAACGATCGAACGAACGATCGAACAAAATGCATGCAACTTTATTGAATGTCGTCTTACATGAAGTTAAAACGTTGTGGGGAGCTAAAACTTTTCCATATTTTCTTAAAAAATACTCAATGATAATTACAGATGCCCTTCAGGTCGGTTTCCTCTTCGTTAACGATCGTTAACAAAAGTTCGTCGTTAACGGTCGTTAACGAAGATTCTTCGTTAACGATCGTTTATATAAAATCGATTGTTTTAAAAACGACTATTTTAAAAAAAACGAACTTTTTGAAAAAACGATCGTCTTTAAAAACGATTCTTTCGTTTTCGTTTTTTTGTCGTCGTTTTCATATAACGAAACGATCGTTTTGCAAAAAAATGAAAATGTTAACATCCCTACATGCGAGGTCCTACACAAAATTTGGACCCAATTGGTTCAGTCGTTTTGACATTTATTGGATACAAACGGACAGACAGACAAGCAAACAAGCAAAGTATATATATATATATAGTCTTTGTCCAATTTATTTAAAATTCCTGGTGCGACTTTGTCTGCTCGTAGCTCCTCTAGTTTTGATTTTGCCCCTAAATATGAGAAAAAAAATTTATTTTTTTGATTGTTCTTTAGAAATTCATAACTTTTGTATTCTCTCTTCTCATTGCCTTACATGGCCTGTAGGGTTGCTAAGGGGTAATTTCAATTCACCAAATTCATTTAAAGATAATGTCCGATTTACAATTCGTTGGTAGTAGAAGTCAGAACGTAGTCTTGTGAAGAATTTTTTTAGGATTCATTTGAAACAAATAAAGTTTGATCACAAAGTCTTGAGAATCGATTTAAAGATTCTACAGAAAACTAATTAGTTGTTTATATGGAACAGGTTGAAAAATAAAAATTAACTCTTATCATTGAAAATAATTAATGTTATTCAGTTATTAGTTTATATAATATGTCTTGTTCACAAAAATTTTCTGTAGATTTTCTGGAATTTTTATTGAAAAGACGACATTTAAAGAACTTGTAGAAATCTGCGAACAAACTCGTAAAAAATAAGAAATTCAATATAATGATGAAAAATAAATAATTGATTCTAACATCAATTTATTGACAAATTTCTATTAAGTAAGTAATATGTTCCTAAGAATTTATTTAGTTTACTGTAGAATTTTTGATACTTTTTTCTCGTCGTTATTTAATAATAATTTAGAAAAAGCTGATTCTCTAACGTAACCACCCAAATGGATGATTTTGAACGTCGACTTTGCGTTCATACTCAGTAATTATAAATCATTACCTTTAAAGCTTTGTCGTTTAATCAAGAATGAATTAGATAACCATTTTTGCTGCAGGAAAACAATGTTGTAATTATTAGAATTAAACACAATTTAAAGCTAGAAAAACGACATTATCTTCAATTCAATTATAATTGTCTTATCTTATTGTCGAAATTAAATATATATTTTAAATAACTTTTTTTCTAGATTTTCTAGCCAATGGTATAAAACTAGGCTTTTAGTGCGCTTCGGGCCCATCTTCTATTTCAAATTTTACTTGTGGCTTTATCCGTGAGCATTTTCTCTTTGTACAGTAAAAACAAGAACAAAAAAAGTTTGCGGATTTCAAAATATTTTTGCGCGCATTTTCAAAGTTTTACAAAAATAAAAACCTTTAAGTACAAATTTTTGAAATTTTGATCATCCATCAACCTTTCCCACACAAAATTTGTGCCCGTTCGGTTCAGCCGTTTTGACGTTTATTCGACACAAACAAACAGAGAGACGGAAAAGCGAATTATATATATATATAGATAGATGGAACGGCTGAACCGAATGATCTAGTCCCGGTTACAGTCTAGAGTAGGTTCTAAATCAATCTAAATCCCCCAAAAAAATCCCAAAAGATTGTGACGTGAATTCCACATTATTTGATGACAGATGTTTTATTGAATTGTTATTTGAAACTAATGATTAAAGAAACCTCAGCATTTGGTATACCTCCCCCCCTTTCTGATCCATGGCATCCCCCATCATGACGATCCTCAGTAGTCAAAATTTTTTTAACAACTCTAAATATATATTTGTATATTTATATGTTAACTATAGCTGGCCAAACGGCTGAACCGAATGGGCTGAATTTTTTAGAGGGAACCCATAGGTGTAATATAGTCTAAAAAAATTGCGACATTTTTTATTTTTTTCAAAAACCTCAATTTTTTTCTTTCAAAAATCAAAATATTGTGTTTTTTCATAATTAAAATTTTTTTCCCACGGGCAACGCCGGGCACTTCAGCTAGTATATAATACAAATTGAAAAGCTTCATCTTAAGTGAGTTTGAAATAAACTCGATTATTATCAAAATATATCAAAGAAAACGTAATAAACTCTAGCTCAATAAAAATGTAAAATATAAGAATATGAAATGTCACTGAAAAAGAAAACCAGAATTGTCGTATCCTGAGAAAATTAAAACGTTGTAAGCTAATTTTCATCAAGATCTAAAGAACTAGAAAAGTATGCATTACTTTTCAAGACAAGGTTGACTTTAAAGTGTCGCCACACCTTTAACTTTAGTTTACAATACTAGAAAAATGAGGTACGCAAACAATTTTAAATTTATTGATTAATACAATTATACATTTAATATATCTTTGTTATAAATAAATATATTAATTTAATCTTTAGGGCAACTTTTTGTTTGATAATAAAATGCCCAATAATTAACACAAGAAATCCACGAAAATTTAACTAAAACAGTACTATTGTTATGTATAGTAAAGTCAGTTAAGTTAACTGTACACAAATAATAAATATAAATATTTTATACAATACCGCTGATCCGTCTACCCGCCGTGGCGTATCTTACGCCTGTAGTGGGTATCGGGGGCGGAGAGTTAGGGGGTGGGGAGGCGGAGGAGGAGGAAGAGGAGAGGGGGGAGGGTAGCTGACTGAAGGTGTTCACTGTCGTAGCCATCGGAACTTCATAATAAGTGATTGATCGATTTTGGCTCGCGTCAGACATACTAAAGGAGTCATTGGTTGGTCGGACAGCGTTGGGTTCAGGTTGGGGTAAACCATTGCTCCAGGTGGGACGGGTTGGGTTTGCTCTGGGTCCTGTGTTCCAAGGGTTGGTCCAGGGACGTTTTGTTTCCGGTGTGTCTCTAGGACCTGCTGTAGCTGGGTTGGCCCAGGGTCTATGGGTTTCTGAACTCCAGGGTTGACGAACTACAGGCTCAGGAGATAGAGCAACAGAAACGCTACTCGTCTCCTAAAAAATTGAACTGAAAATTCACAACAAACTCTTGTATTTTAATCCCATTATCTCTGCAACCTGATGGATATGTGTAAACCTTAAATATTTCAAACTTTTGATATTTGATCTTGCAGAATCATTATAGGTTAAAAGTTGTATGGCATCAAGTTTATCCTTATCCTCTTTATCCTTTAACGGAAACTTTGGGAGTCAAGAATTTAGCAACTGCTAACTATAATGTTCAATAATAAGAAGTTCCAGTAGTTTTTGCTTTGTTTTTAAATACATTTTAATATTTGTCAAAATAAAGAATAAAATTAACCTGACTACTTCCACTCTCCGTACTAGATCTGTTCACTGTCCCTTTATTCCTACTCTTCCCCCGGCTCCCATCCCTACTCCTGCTCCCGTCTTTGCTCCTACTCCCGTCTTTGCTCCTGCTCCCGTCCTTACTCCTTCTCCGTCCTCTCGTACTCTCACCCCCACTCGGAGTCGACGGAGAGTCCAGGTCAAAATTAAGATTATCAAACCCAGATGATCTGGACAAAAATCCTCCTTTTTTCCTGTCTCCCAGTCCTCCTGCCCCGAGCCCGGTCCCCCGGGCAAGATCTTCTGTGCTGTGCCCGGTGTCCCGGGCAGGATCTACTCCCCCCGGGGGAGCATGACCAGGTTGAGAGGCCTCTTCTTCTCCTTCTCCTTTTCCTTCCCTGTAACCTGCAGCCTCAACAAGAGAGATTAATCAGCAAAAAATTTAGCTTTTAAAGGGACTGTTGGCGTATTTTCTAGTAACATGCAGATTAAAAGTTGTCAAACTATTTAAGGCTTTTTTAAGAATCGTTCGTTATGCCGCACGTTTTCAGTTAGTTACTGCATGGAAAAGCCACAGCCAGTGTTTCTCAAATTTCAGGCAGAACACAAAGATCTATCTCCATCTTTTATTCTTTTATAAGAATTAAGGTTTTCGTGACTCATATGTCACTTATTCATTGGAGGGTCATTTGAATTTACGATGATAATCTGTTCTATTGGAGGGTCATTTGAATTTACGATGATAATCTGTTCTATTGGAGGGTCATTTGAATTTACGATGATAATCTGTTCATTGGAGGGTCATTTGAATTTACGATGATAATCTGTTCATTGGAGGGTCATTTGAATTTACGATGATAATCAGTTCTATTGGAGGGTCATTTGAATTTACGATGATAATCTGTTCTATTGGAGGGTCATTTGAATTTACGATGATAATATGTTCTATGCTTCTTAATTACAGTTTTTAAGAAGAAAAAGGGTAGACGAGGTTTCGTGAAGTTATATAAAACCTTTATTACAAGTTTTAAAATAAGAAGTGTGTTTACCTGAGAATTATAAATGTAAGGTTTTGGGCCCGAATCAGATGATTTCTTCTTCTAAAATTTAAATGATAAATACTTTTAAAAAAGTGCATGTGTTTTATCTTGTTCTTTAAAAAAGATAAGATTTAGCTAAGAAATTTTAAGATTGGCGGATTTTTGGTAACTAACCTTTATGGTAACTAACAATTTGATAACAAATAGTTTGGCAACCTCGCAATTTGGTAATTAATAATTTGGTAACTAACTATTTCAAAACTTGACAATTTAGCAACTTGACAATTTAGCAACTTGACAATTTGGTGACTTGACAATTTGGTAACTAATAATTTGGTAACCTCACAATTTGGTAGCTAACAATTTGGTAACTTTACAATTTGGAAATTGTTCGTTACCAAATTGTCGGTTACCAAATTTTCGTTTAATCAAATTGTGAGGTTACCAAATTGTTACCAAATTATTAGTTACCAAATTTTTAGTTACCAAATTTTCGGTTACTAAATAGTCGATTACTAAATTGTCGGTTTACCAAATCGTGAGGTTACCAAATTGTTACCAAATTATTAGTTACCAAAAATTCTCCCATTAATTTAAGATCGTGACAACATTTTGATATTGTAATTAAAAATCTATTATTCTACATTGTTTAATTTTATATATGGAAAAGCCAAATTTAATCACAATAGCAAAATAGAAAAAAAATTATGAACATTTATATACAGGGTTACCCACAAAGAATGAAACTGTAAAGACGACCTGAAACTATTAAAATAGGACGATTTCAATGTCTAATTAAGTCTTTAGCCTTAACTGTAGTCATTGTATAGCTATATTTTATAATTTAAAAAGAACGAAACAAGTTTGAACTTGCAGGAAACCATGAAACAGACAGTATAGATTTCGTACAGTCGTCTCTGAATTCTCATTCTTTGTGGGTAACCCTGTATACCTTGAATAGACTGAAGCAGCATGTGATAATAAGAGCCAGGATGATACAGACGGCCATGATGATAAAGATGATCAAAGCAACCTGACCTAGCTTTACCAGAAAGTACAGGTCATCAACGTATCCTGAACAAGAAACAAAATCTTTTGAGATGAATCTGCCTACTGAATAAACATCGAGATATATACAATAGATACAACCAACCCTAGCCAATACTTTTTTATTTCATTTTTCATTATCAAAAAACTGTAAGTGAAATTTTAGGCGACCTTCCAAGCAAAAAGGGCAATTGGAAATTCAATAAGATAATCTTTTAAACTTTTGACTGATCATCGAGGACAAGGGTCTCAGTGTATTTATTTCTTAGATATTGTGTAAAAAATCGTGCATATTAAGTGTATGCTAGCGTTAATAAAATATTAATATTCCTTAAATATAAAACAACGTACAACGTGCAAACAACGTGTTTCTGTATATATAAATAAGGAAAAGTCCATCAACCTTGATCAGTCAAAGACTTAAGCGGGGATTGAATTAAGAGGGGATTAAATGTCACGTTCAAATAGGTCTTTATAAAAACATATTAAATGTAAATGTTACCATTTCTACAATTTTAAATTAAAGGTTTGAATTGGAAAAATAAGGAAACGATCAAGGATACGTCAGCAAAAAAACTTACACCAACACGTGAAACAAGAAAAAGTCAAACTGTTCAAAATAACAATTTAACATTTTTTTATTCAAATAAGTAAAATTTCTATAGCATGCACTGACCATTATAATAGAACGGCTGACTTGGATCCGCTCCAAAATAGGAGTTGGGAGCTCCATAACCTAGAGAATACAAAGGTTCGTTAGTATCAACTCCTAAATAGGAGCCCAGCTTCAAAACCTAGAGAATACAAGGGTTGGTTAATATCAGCTCCTAAATAGGAGTTGGAAGCTCCAAAACCTAGAGAATAGAAAGGTTCCTTAGTATCCGCTCCAAAATAGGAGTTGGGAGCTCCAAAACCTAGAAAATAGTAGGGTTCGTTAATATCAGCTCCTAAATTGTAGTTGTTAGCTTCTTAACCTTATAGAGAATAGTATCAGCTCCAAAAGAGGAGTTGGGAGATCCATAATCTAGAGAATAGAAGGGCTTATCAACCCGCTCCAAAATAGGAGTTGGGAGCTACATAATCTAAAGAATACGAGGGTTGGTTAGAATCAGCTTCAAAATAGGAGTTTGGGGGGGGGGGGTCTACATAATCTAGAGAATAATTGGTTAGTATCATCTTTAAAATAGTAGTAAGGAGCTCCATATACTAGGGTTAGTTAGACCGCTCCAGAATAGGAGTTGGGAGCTCTATAACCTAGAGAATACAAGGTTTGGTTATTTTCCGCTCCAAAATGAGAGTTCGGAGCTCCATAACCAAGAGAATACAAGGGTTGGTTATTATCCGCTCCAAAACAGGAGTTGGGAGCTCACTAATCTAGAGAATACAAGGGTTGGTTAGAATCAGCTCCAAAATAGGAGTTTGGAGTTCCATAATCTAGAGATTACAAGGGTTGGTCATTATAAGCTCCAACATAGGAGTTAGGAGCTCCATAATCTAGAGAATAGTTTGATAAGATTCTCTCTAAAATAGGAGTTGGGAGCTTCATAACCTAGAAATTAAAGGGTTGGTTAGAATCCAATGATAACTGATAATCCAGGCTCCTAGCCCAGTTTTTAAACCATGTAAGAACCAAAAAACCTAAACCTCACAAAGCATGCATTTTATCACCTTTTCATACGGCTTATCATCCATAGTGGGACCCATATTAAAGAATTAAGAATTCAAGCAATCATATGTAGGTGCATTTAATAATGTTCCTAAGGAAATAGGTTTACCAGCTAAACCTACTGATGGGTTTAAACATTTACAGGTTTTGGCTTTAAATTTGCTGTAAAAGAATCTGAAAGATTTGAGACTTGTTAAAATCAAATTCTACCATTATTTTACCATTTTCTACGACCCAAGATATCAACCAAAACTATTTTTCAAAACGATTTTTCCATTCGGTTTGAAAAATTGTTTTGGTTGATATCTTTGTTCAGAATGAAACTGGCTCTCATGATGTAATAAAAACAATCCAGCGGACAATTTCAAAATAGCTGAATTATCTCAGATCCTTGTGGAACCTCTCTTTAAAGTTTGAAACGTATTTCAACACGATGCCAATTTCTAGCTATATCTTGAACATCAACTTATAAGTGCATGGGACAAACGTCTTCTTATTCCACAATTTTATGGGTCCCACTGTAGCACTTCATTGTTCTTTTATATTTGTTCCAGGAGGGTTATAAGAGGGTCTATAGAGGAGCCATCATTGTTCTTGTTATACCTGTTCCAGGAGGGATATAACAGGGTCTAGAGGAGCCATCATTGTTCCTGTTATACCTGTTCCAGGAGGGATATAACAGGGTCTAGAGGAACCATCATTGTTACGGTTATACCTGTTCCAGGAGGGATATAACAGGGTCTAGAGGAGCCATCATTGTTCCTGTTATACCTGTTCCAGGAGGGATATAACAGGGTCTAGAGAAGCCATCATTGTTTCTGTTATACCTTTTCAAGGAGGGATATAAGAGGGTCTATAGAGGAGCCATCATTGTTCCTGTTATACCTGTTCCAGGAGGGTTATAAGAGGGTCTAGATACGCCACCATTGTTCCTGTTATACCTGTTCCAGGAGGGTTATAAGAGGGTCTATAGAGGAGCCATCATTGTTCCTGTTATACCTGTTCCAGGAGGGTTATAAGAGGGTCTAGAGGAGCCACCATTGTTGCCAAACAAGATCCTAAATAAGGTCAGTGAGATCAGGTCAGTCAGGAAAATCTGCATATTTATATTGAAATTTTTAATAAAGTTTTTTTTTCTAAAATTCTATTTATTTATGGACTACTTTTCTAGAGTACAGTTGATCTAATTATGCATGAGCAGTTAAACAATGCACTATATATTAGCATTTATACATGTGTAAACTATAAACCTAAATAAACATTCAGAATTTAATTCATTTGTCAGGAATATTAGTCATTGCAAATTGTTAGCTTTTTTTGTAAAAAAGATCTTTTCAAGAACATTGGATGGGGTAAATTGAGGATAGAAAAATTATCAAGAAAAAAGGTTGTTTTCAATCTTTATTTATTTTTTCATTCGTTTATCTAAATAGTATATATTAATTGCAATAATATATTGTATCTAACTTTTGTCTATTTTGTATAGGGCTAATGTAAGGATGAGTTTAATTACAGGGTGTCCCACGAAATATGACAATTGGTGAATAGTTTAGATTCTTCCATAATATGTCAAGTTGTTTGTTTCCAAAGAGAATAATAATAAATACTTTCTGGCATCCATATTATAGTAAAATTTATTTCTAAGTAAAATATATTTTAATAAAGTTTATTCAAACAAATAACTAGTAACATGGACTATGGAGGAAGACATTCAAAACTATTCACCAACTGTCATGTTTCGTGGGACACCCTGTACGACCCGTAAGACTATAAATACCGCGATCTGAAGATAAAATGGTGGATTTCATCTTATGTCTTCAAAGTAAAAATATATTGAATGATTTGACAGTTAAGAAAAATGTTTTAAGTTGTCTGGAATCCTGAATATATGAAACTAAATATTTGTCTCTGAAGTCTCATATTTTGTGGGTAACTCTGTGTCTAAGCCCTGCATATTTTGTATCTAACCCTGGATATCTGTATCCAAACTTTACCTGGATATCTGTACCAAATAATAACTGGATATCTGTATCAAACCAATACCTGGATATCTGTATCCAAACTTTACCTGGATATCTGTACCAAACCCATACCTGGATATCTGTATAAAACCTAGGGTTTCCAGTCGTAATTACGTTACGCGTAATTACGCGTAACACTTTCTTTCACTTACGCAGGAGCAATACGCGTAATTACGCGTTTATTACGTTTACGAAAGAAAGTCGAGTTTCGCGTAATTAATGCGTAATTACGCGAAATTACGTAATACGAAACAATTCCGTAATAAATAAAGTACATATTAATTCTCAGAAATAATTATAGCGGGAAAGTATTGTAAGACCCGCTACAACCATGTCAAACATATTTTGACGATTTTACTTTTTTTTCAAACAAGGAAGATAAACTTGAGAAAGTAGGTTGAAATATTAACAAGTCGTCAAAAATTGAAAAAGGAATTGAGTCTTTGCCACAAAATTTTATTTTCTAATCCCTATATTTTTGCAACCCAATGCCGTAGACCTTAGATATTTTAAACTATGAATTCTGTTAGATTAAATAATCAAAGTTTAAAATATAAAAGGTTTCCACCATTAGGTTCCTAAGATATAAGGATTAGAAAAGTTGAGCTAGTGGCAAAGACTCAATTCCTTTATAGATTATGTATTTTTTTGATAAAAATAAATTGTTGACCCTTTGTTAAACTTTTTAGTTGTCGAACGTAAAAATTACATCAACATAGTATTGGCTGAAATTTCTGATTCAACTTGCGTGACATTATTTTCCTTGTAAGTTAGTTGTTTTATTTAAATTAAAAATTAAATCTTCAAAATCTAATAGATGTAATTATTGCAAAATTTCGCGAAATTGAAGTTTCTCTAATTATTCGCGAAATTACACCGTAATTACGCGTAATTATAGTTTCGCTTATTACGGGTAATCATTACGAAATTTCGAAAAATTACGTTGTAGAAATTACGCGAAATTACGCCGTAATAACGCGTAATTATAGTTTCGCTTATTACGCGTAATCATTACTTAATTTCGCGAAATTACGTTGCAGAAATTACGCGAAATTACGCCGTAATTTCGCGAAATGGATATTTCCCCAATTACGCGTAATCCTGCGAAATTACACGAAATGAAAATTATTACGCGTAACTGCAAGTAATTACGCGTAAGAGAATAATCTATTACGTTGGAAACCCTAATCAAACCCATACCTGGATATCTGTATTCAACCCCTTCTTTGATATCTGTATCCAACCCCCACCTGGATATCTGTATTCAATATCCAACAACTGCCCAGATATCTGTATCCAAACACTACCTGGATATCTGTATCCAACGCTTACCTGGATATCTGTATCCAACCCCTACCTGGATATCTTTAACCAACTCCTACCTGGATATCTGTATCCAACCCCTACTTGGATATCTGTATCCAACTCCTACCTGGATATCTGTATCCAACCCCTACCTGGATATCTGTATCCAACTCCTACCTGGATATCTTTATCCAACCCCTACATGGATATCTGTATCCAACCACAACCTGTAAATCTGTATCAATCACTTCCTGGATATCTGTATCCAATCCTTACCTAGATATCTGTATCCAACCCCTGCCTGGATATCTGTTTGCAACCCCTACCTGGATATCTGTATTCAACCCCTACCTTGATATCTGTATCTAACCCCTACCTGGATATCTGTTTCCAACCCCTACCTGGATATCTGTATACAACCCCTACCTGGATATCTGTATCCAACCCCTACCTGGATATCTGTATCTAACCCCTACCTGTATATCTGTTTGCAACCCCTACCTGGATATATGTATACAACCCCTACCTGGATATCTGTATCCAACCCCTACCTGGATATCTGTATCTAACCCCTACCTGGATATCTGTTTGCAACCCCTACCTGGATATCTGTATACAACCCCTACCTGGATATCTGTTTGCAACCTCAATCTGGATATCTGTATCCAACTCCTACCTGGATATCTGTCCTGGAACCTCATCTAATCCAATCCTTGACTCAGATCCAAGATTTCCTTCACTCCTGAAAAAATGGTTGATTTCATAATTTATGCCGTGGCCCGAACTTTGTCATGGACTAACTATTTGGATATATGGCCGGCTGTATCAATTTGTAGACCCTGCAGTAGGTTTGAACTATCAGGTTCGAACCATCAGGTTTGAACCATCAGGTTTAAACCATCAGGTTTGAACCATCAGGTTTGAACCATCAGGTTTGAACCATCAGGTTTGAACCATCAGGTTTGAACCATCAGGTTTGAACCATCAGGTTTTAACCATCAGGTTTGAAACATCAAGTTTGAACCATCAGGTTCGAACCATCAGGTTTGCACCATCAGGAAGTATTGCAAATTTTTATTTTAAAAACTAAAATGAACGTTGAATATCTAACTATAGGAACCGAATTAAATGAATTGTAGAGGTTGCTAAGCTATCACCGGTTCAAATTCTGAATCTTCTAATCAAATCCTAAGGAATCTTTAACTTTGAAGCGGTGATTCAGGGTTTGAACGTGCAGTGGCCTCTTTATTTATTTTTTTTCAGAACCCACGGTTTTTAAAGATAATGTGTTCTATGTGTTTATAGATTTAAAGGTAAAAATGAATCACGTATGATTCCATAAAAATATTTGAATTGCAGCTGTAAACTGCAGAAAAATGCATTTGCTTCCGGTCCTTGTTTTAATATTTTAATATTTTTGCAATTTATGGGATATTCAAATTTCAGCTTGTATTCTGTACTCTGCACTTTGTATCCTGCATTTTGTATCCTAAGAATCTGTATCCTGTATTATGTATCCTGTATCATATATCCTATATCGTGTATCCTGTACCCTGTATCTTGTATCATTTATTCTGTAACATTTATCCTGTATTCTGTATCTTTTTTCCTGTATCATATTTTCCTTTATCCAGCATCCTGTATCCTGTATCCTCTTTCCTGTATCATATTATCCTTTATCCAGCATCCTGTATCCTGTATCCTCTTTTCTGTACCATATTATCCTTTATTCAGCATCCTGTATCCTGTATCATGTACCATCTATATAATAAAGCTCTTCGCTTATATACATACATTTATGTGTATTTGTCAGTTAGCTATAGCTGACTAAACGGCTGGGCCGAATTGGCTGACATTTGTTGGTTAAACTCATTGGTACCCTTGGGTACAAAAATCGATTAAAATTTGATTTTAAAAAAATCCCCGGGCAACGCCGGCTACTTCATCTAGTATCACCTATATCATGTATCCTGTATCCTGTCTTTTACCTTAGTCTTGATTCTGCAACCCCATCTCTGCTTCCCATTCTTCCTAAAATTAAAAAAAACTATTATTGATAAAAGTATTCAAAATGCTAAAATTACATAATGCATAATACAGTTTTATGAATTAGTTTAAGAACTATTTTTTGAAACACATTAAGAAAAACGTTACGATAATATGGAAAGATAATAAAAATACACTTATGAAAGAACCACTGACATTTTGTAGAAAAAACAATAAAAAACTTATGAGAAAAAACTTTTCCAATAATATTTACGAGAAGAAATTGAAAATGCACTTTTTGAAATATTTTCACTTGGCAAAGAAACATTTTTTTCTATTAACCGTAAGCATTATGGAATAGCAAACGTTTTATGTAAAATTATTAACTCAATTTTAGAAATATCTAACAAACTTTTATATTCCTAAAAATCTTTTAGTAATTGTTGACGAAAATTTTGAAATGAAACAAAATTTTCAAATTTTACTAACAGTGTAAATGTTAACAGGTCCAGGTTTAAAATTAGACTGAAGTTGTATAAACATTAAACATTAAACAATTGAAAAACAATGACTCCGCCTTAATTCAATATTACCAATTCTCCCTCCTGCTAACCCAATGTTGTATGTAAAGGAAGGTAGATAGATAAACACACGAATTGGAATTTCTATAGAATGTCCTAGAAATATTTAGAACATTCTAAAAAATATAGTTAGAAATAAAGAATTACCTTAAATTGAATAATTTTAAAACAAAATAAATAAAAATTTTTATTTTAAATTGCAACTTTTGGTGTGCAGGCAAATTGGAATTGAGTCTTCTCCAAAAAGACCTTTGCAACCCAATGTCGCAGACCTTAGATATTTCAAATTACAAATTCTGTTAGATCAAATAAACTAAGTTTGAAATATCAAAGGTTTCCACCATCATATTGCAAAGATAAATGGGTTAGAATATTCGAGATAAAAGATGACAGTTTAGTTTTAGGAGAACATTCTAATAAAGGCGAAATATATATGTATGAGTGTATATTTGTGTGTGTGTGTGTGTAAAACTTAGGAAGAGATATATGTCACGCACCTCTGACCCTTTAGTAAAAGTAATTTCAACCTAAATTCTGACCGCGTCAACCTTGTTGCACCGGCTAGTCCTATTGAGTGTCTGCTTTAATGACCCAATGTCCGGGCGATACAGTACAAACTGGGACCGGAAATGTTGACCAGGCCCGTGAAAAATAAAAAAATAAAAAATTTCTCTCTGTATCTTTAGGAAAGGAAGGGTGGCTTAATTAGCTTAAAGGGACCGTACACGTAATTTCCAGTGATTACTCATTTTTAGATTAGCATGGCCAATTCACAGTTGGTACCCTTTAAACCTTTGCCTGATCAAAACTGATGAAGTTTTTCCTGTTTTGTAATCTCAAATTTGATTATTTTCTATTGCAGTTCTCTATAAAAGTGACTTCAGGATTTATAGAGTAGTAGTAGTAGTCGGAGCAAAGGATGGAGTTATGGAGAAATTTTTAAGACAGAAGGTCGTCTTTCACCGATTTATTGGAATCTTTTTATAATACCGCGGGGGACGCCGGGTACGTCACTAAGTGACAAATTATTATAAAAAACGTAAAATCTCCAAGTTGGTTTAACAATGTTTGTTTTCCCATTAGCCATGCCTTCAATAACGGATAGGCCTAATAGGCTTTAATTCTGTTTAAGACTAACATATTGTGCCAGAGAAGGATTGAATACTATTTTATCTATAGTTTGTATCCGTTGTTTTTATATCAAATATACGATGTAAACTTTATTTAGAACTTTTTGTTGTTAATCTCGGGATCAAGCATTGATCTCCATCTTGTACCGATTGATTTAATTCCAACGAGGTTATAGTATATAGAGTGATGATGTACGCTAATCCTTTACTAATTGTACAGGCCATGTACTTCACTTCCAAAGGTCAATCTGTATATTACATTACTCGGGGGTGATTTCTGAAAATATTTATTTTCATTTAAACATGGATCATGGTAATTTATATAACTAAAAAATAGATAACCTTTCTTTATTAATAATAACCTTTCTTTAATTTCAATTACACTTTTTAAGGAAAACTTAAACATTAATAATTCAAACTAATATTAGAATATCTTACTAAAAATTGGTGACTTTAAAAGATTTTTATTCATAAATTGTCATACAATTTTTGATTCAAGCTTGAAAATACTTGATTTGAGAAACCAGGGGATCCATAAACTTTTACACTCTTACAATCTTCTAAACAGTTCCGAACAAACCTAAAAATAAAAGATATATCAAATATCAAACTATTTTAACTATTACTAGACTAATCTTATATTTCAATTTGGAACAAGGGCGTATACGGAAATAAATGTGGGGGGGGGGGCAAAATA